TTTGAAGCTTAGTGATAATTGGATAATTAGCCCATTGGCCCACACACACACACTTTAAAGCAGGAACCAAGAGGTCCTACCTCTAAAAGCCTCAGCACGCTCTTTTAGAGTTTTTCATATTTAGTACAATGAGCTTTTATAGCCTGTCCCTGCCAGCACACCTATCATAGGTCCTTTTAGATTCCACCACCATGTTGGAAGTGGACTGCTGCCTTTCTTTTGTGCACAATTTAACTCCCATGCATGTGCACTTGGGGGTCTATTCACAAAGCTGCCGAGGGCAGCCGAGTGAATAGGTTTCAGTCCCAGACAGCTCAGACGCAAAAGTCTAGTGGAAAAATACTATAATTGGAAGAATCAATAGCTACATCATTCCAGGACTGCAAACCACATCTTATCACTGGAGTGGATTTACATGACTTGAGCCTGTAGGCACACAACATCTGGTGTTCAACCCAAAACCCCCTCTGCTAGGATCATCTCTTGTGTCCAGAACAAATTCTTTCATTTACCTGTGCTTACCTGCCTAAGAATAAACCAGTGTTGGACAAAATGAATACGGAACTTTGGAGCCAGTCCAATCCGGAAGCCAGAAGGATTTTTCTAGGAGCCAGCTCCGTTGTCAACCTCTAGAGAAAACCTCAAAAGTTAGGCAACCAGCTGTAATATCAGTGTTCTAATTCATCCCAAAACTTTTAAAAGGGTTGATGTCAGAGCTCTGTGCAGGCCACTCGAGTTCCTCCACATCAAACTAGTCTACCCATGTCTTTATGGAGTTGGCTCTGTGCACAGGAGCACAGTCATGCTGGAACATAAAAGGCCTTTCCCAAACTGTTACCACAAGGTTGGAATATATATATAGATATATCTATATATCTATACATAGATATATAGATATATCTATATATCTATATATAGATATATATATAAAGTTAGCTATAGGCACATTCCTACTGTACCCAAATGATAAATCTAGCCTTGACTTAACTGTATCTCACAGATGCAAGCTGCAAGGAATATGGGCAGTACACGAGGAGATGTAACTACAGCTGTTTCACAAGACATCTTACAGCTTTAACAGGTAAAAAGAGGGTAATTATGTAAGTGCCTGAGTGAAGCGGTGCATTTTTTGAAGCTGAAGTGCTATGTTGAAATGACATTCAGCAACTAAGCTTTCAGTTTCATTCTGATAAATACATTCCAGGTGCATCAACACAAAAGGTGTTCAATGTCTTACAGTTGGTTTTCTTTAGAAAGCGGTCACAGTTTGAGAAAAAAAGCCTGTCCCCTGCCAGGCACCGCTTCTGCACCATTACTTTCTGTGCAGAAGTGGAAGTGGTGGTCTTTCTGCATGGGTCCACAATGTTCCCACCTCCAGGGGCGTCCCGAGGCAGGGTGTCACCCGGGACGCCCTGCACATGCGCATGATGTCATGGCGCATATGCGACATTATCCCGCATGCTCGTGATGACGTCACACGTTGTGACCTGCCTGCAGCCATCTTGGTGATGGACATCGGGAGAGGGAGGAGGGGACGTTCACCTGGCGGGATCCCCTCCACTCTTGAACAACTGTTGGGCTCTTGGTCCATGACTGAGTCCCCGACTTTTCAGAGGGGGTGACATGAAAATGACTGTCATTCATTTTGGTGTCACCCTTCCAATGGTGTCCCCCCGGTTCAGGCTGCACACACCATAGTGGCACCACTGCCCTCCTCCATCCATCAACTCCCTGCTGAATTGGAGCTAGAGCTCTCCAATAAGCTAAGTTCCTGCTCATTGGTGATTAGAGCGCTCAAACATTACAGGGAAAAGGTGCATAACCATCAAGTTCAAATGTTAAAAAATTACACATCAAATACCTCTTGATTCAGAAACAAATCAACAGAAGAACACTTCTTGGGTCAGGACATAATAAACCTTTACAGAGAAATAAAATGTCTTTCTGTTCCCTAATAGCAGTCAATACAACATACTCATATGTCATTTTTATATCTGTAAGTAATTATTTATATTTAATGCTAAGAAAGCATCTAACCCTTGCTTAGCCCTTCTTGTGCCCATTCTCTAGAAGTCTCATCAGATTCCTTGAAGCTGGTGATAAAATATCTTTATTTTCCCAACTGCAATGGATGCCGATGTGTTTTTTGAAGTCCTTACGCTTCTCGTAAAGTCCCTATGACTGTAAGTTAATTAGGAATATCCTAAACCGTTTGACGGATCAGAGCTCTTCATGGCTGATGTGGAACTTCTCTGCCACTGGCGAGCTACTACAAATCTTAGCACCCTAGAAGTGGGCCCATCCCTGTCCTTACCGCTTAATGTAATTCCAACCTCTCAGAGAAGCCCTATACTCATTAAATTGCTTTGCCTGATGGAATCTTTCAGCAAAAGCTTTCAAGAGCTGCACTAAAAAAGAAACATCCACAAGACGAATTTCTGTGAACAATACGCGTCTTCCTAATTTTACTGCTGATACAAAGCGGCATTGACATTATGAAGATCGTATTAAACAGATCTGCTTACTTACAAAAAAAACAAGGCCAGCTCAGTATTCCAATTTTACACTTTATGGCTGTGATAGAAAATAAAGCATTTATAGCCGCAAATATGAGCTTGATGTTTTATTTAAGTCTCACTGGGCGCAGAGGTGATAAAACCACTGCGCATTTTTACTTCACTCCAAAAATACTGCCGACAACAGTTTTGTCTTAAAAAGTCTTTTAAAAAAAAACAGCAAAACGTAACTACAAATTACTTTTTGTTTTAGAACTGCTAAAAACATTCACAAATGTGTGTAAATGTTCTCAAAACAGCACAAAAATTGATACCTGACCCAGTGGCGTCACAAGGGGGGTGCACCCCTCACCCGAGTGCCACCATTGGAGGGGTGACACCAAAATGAATGACAGTCATTTTGGTGTCGCCCCCTATGAATAGTCGGACACTTGGTCACGGACCGAGAGCCCGACAGTGTCAGGAGAGAGGCGGGGACCCGGCGGCATACCTCATCCCGCCAGGTGAACGTCCCCTCCTCGACCGTGCATGCGCGATGACGTCACCGTGGGGTGTCACACGGTCTCATCTCTGGGTGAAACACACAGCCTCTGGACACCCCTGACATGACCTTTGAATAAGGACTAGTTCACACCAGAACTGCATGCGTCTGCAAAGCTGCAATGTGATGCGTTTTGCCGAGATTTTACCGCAATTTGTGTTGGTTTTTCTTGTTTGCTTAAAATGGGATTTCAGATGCGGTTCAGTGCGTTTGCAAGCGTTTTTGATGCGTTTTTTGTTGCGTTCCAGTGCGATCCGATGCAGCTAAAATAGAGCAAGTAGTTGTTTTTCTGACTCCATCGGAACGGACTGCAATGGTGTGAATAGAACACCAGAAATCCCATAGGAAAGCATTGTGATGTATTTTGGCTGCAGCAGGCAAACTGAACGGACCGCATCACAACTGCATATGGCGTGAACTAGCCCTAAGTTAAAAACGCATTCCACTAACCTGTAGACTACCATTGTAAGCTACAGCAGGATTAAACATGATGGTTGTAGTATTCTTCTATGAGATAAGGGCAAGGAGGTCAGCTAAATATTAGACATTACCCCCATTATGTCACCTTATTATAAAAGTGTATCTAATGGCAAACTTATTTTTAGTTTTGGATAGAGTGTGAGGGGTTAGGACCCGTGTCCTACTATTATTATTATACCGGATTTATATAGCGCCAACAGTTTGTGCAGCCCTGTACAATATAAGGAAGACATTATAATCACAATACAATTCAAGACAAGATGGTAAGGAGGGCCCTGCCCGTGAGGGCTTACAATCTATTCATTCACTACAGTCCCTGTCATCAAGGGGCTTACAGCCTAAGGTCCCTATATTGTAACACAGATGAACACATACAGGGCCAATTTAGACACAAGCCAATTAACCTACCAGCATTTATTTGGGGTGTGGGAGGAAATCCATGCAAGCACAGGGTGCCCAGGCCAAACCTGGATTCAAACTGGGGACCTTAGAGCTGCAAGGCAGAAGTCCTAACCACTGAATCACTGCGTCTCCTCAAGTTTATTGTCCCAGTAAGGGAGGTTCACTCCACTGTATATGGGACTGAAAGTGATGGGAAATCTAAAATTCTGAGTCATCAGAACAGGAAATTAGGGGAAATCCAATAGGGGTACCTATTCAAGTAATAAGTAGTTTGTTTTTTTTTCTTTTGGATGGAGCGTTGAAGGGTTAGAGCCCTTGTCAGATTTTTTTACCCTGGTGACCATTGTCACTGGGAATGTCCAATATTTTAAGCTGGTACTGGAACAGAAAAAGAAGGGATTAAAAGGGGTCACTTATTTGGGTGACAAATGATCAAGAGGTGCTTTCCCAACTTTAGATCGATTTCCTCTCACATCCTGGTGTGTGTATGGGAGAGGAAAAGAAGGTAAATCTCCTCAATGGGGCAAAAAATAATAATCATCATTATCATAATATATATATATGAATTTTAATTATTTCACACTCTATACAAAATGTAAAAAAGCTGGAACTATAGGTATAGCCTTGGATTTACATATATTCAGCTGTGATAAGTTATTCCATAAATGCTGAATTTGTTTAAATAAACCAACTTGTAGCACAGAAAGATGAATTCACAAAACTTTAACACAAGGATAAGGATCTTTATTTAGCATTGTGACTGTTTAAATCTTACCGAAAAATGACTCTTTAGATAATAAGGATCCTTATCTTAGCATTGTGAATCTCACCTATTGCAGGGATTCGGATAAGCTAAGTTGGCCTTCCCCATGCAGGGTACATCCATTCTCCCTCCTGCCATGATATAGCTATGATTATTTATCAGTATAGATTTGTTTGCATAATGCAATGTATCAGTGTACAGTGTTTCTGTCCCGCTGTCGGCCAGGAGGGGACAGCAGAGATTCAGCATCTCATACCATGCTAGCTCATGTATAACGTGCGTTATAATTGTATCTCACCTGTACCAGTTCAGTCCCTTGTCGTAGTTCCGATCAAAGAAATGGGGTTCAGCACCCACAGCCCTAATGTCTGGGTGCACTCTGAGAAACTCCAGCAGAGCTCGGGTCCCACCTTTCTTCACCCCAATAATGATAGCCTGGGGCAACTTCTTGCTCCCTTCTCCCAGCGGGGTGAGGGTACTGTCCCCCTCCTGAGCAGGGTATGGCACCCCAATACTGGGGAAGAGGCGGCTCCACTGCGGCCCCTGCCGAAAGGTGCCCTGATGGTCCCTCATCTTCTGAAGCAGCTTTTTCCTCTTCACTGAGTGCCAGAGTGCCAGCGGTGAGTCCTCATAGACCCCATCCTCCTCCGGGGCCACTATGATGGGCCCTGGCATGCTCTGACAGCGGTCAGCCAGGCAGTAGAAGACATAGAGGGACATGATGAGGGAGCACAGCATCAAAACAAACTTCCTGAAGATACTTCTGGACAGGGACTCGTGCAGGACAGATGGGAATGTCATTGTCGCCAACAGCGGCTGAGGTCGCCATGTCAAGTGATCCTGGACCAGGGTGCCATGGCATCACAGCTGTGAAACAAAAGAGGCACCCAGCCAGCTGCCTATGGACTTACACCCAAATTTGCGCCCTCCCAAATCCCTTCCAGCATCCTTCAATCACATGCTGTGGCATCAGATGTGGACTGTAAGCTCTTTGGGTCTGCAGAAAGTTGATAAGATTGCTGATTCCAGCTGGCAAAATGGACTAATTCAGCAGGGATGCCATGATGCAAAATGACTGTTTGTATTACAATGAAAATCAGATGCGATCTCCATCTCAGTCAGTGGTCTCTGATATTCTCTCAGCTGTCATTACAACTCATGTCCGCGTATGTAGAATGTCATCCTGAGGGAAGGGCATTTTTATAGTAGCCGGGAGTCTGCAGCAAAGTCTGATTTGTTGGGTGTGAGCGGCAGCTGTCCTAAAATCCCCCAGAGCCCCTGACAGCCCCTCGGCAGCTCGTCTTCAGCAAAGCGCTTCTGTCAATGCTCTTCACACGTGGGGACCAGCAAAGCAAACTTCTCAATGACATCACAGCACCCTGCAGGAGAAGGGGCTCCTCCAATGGGGAGCCAGGAGTGAGATCAATGGAATGTGGAGGGGCCAATCAGGAGCGTGGAGGGTGTGGGTTTACTTTCGCAGCCACTATGAAAGCTTAATTCTGCTAAATTACCATCAGAGGTGACTTGTGTTTGACAGAAGATATTATATTCCACATGTCTGTCCTCTGTTACCTGTCTGTCATCTCCTTCCTCCTCTGTCCTTCTCTCCTTATGCTTCTCTCTCTTTTCCTGTGTTCTCTTTTATATGACATATTCTCACTTATCTCATCTTTCTTTCTTTTCTTCCTTTTTCTTTCCTTCCTTCCTTTTCTCCTTCCTTCCTTTCTTACTTCGCTTTCTCTCTCCCTTCCTTTCCTTTCTCCCTTCTTTCTTTGCTGCCTTCCCTCCTCCCTTTCTTTTATTCCCCTTTCTTTATTTCTTCTCATTTTTTCTCTTCTCTTCCTTCATTACTTTCTTACTTCCCCTTCTCCCTTCCATTTGTCTTTTTCTTTCTTTCCCTTTCTTTCTTTCCTTTTCTTTCTTTCTTTCTTTCTTTCGCTTCCTTTCTTTCCTTCCATCCTTTCTTTCTTTCCTTCCATCTCTTTCTTTCTTTCTTTCTTCCCTTCCATCCTTTCTTTCCTTTCTTACTTCACTTTCTCTCTCCCTTCCTTTCCTTTGTCCCTTCTTTCCTTGCTCCCTTTCCTCCTCCCTTTCTTTATTTCTTATCTTTTTTTCTTCTCTTCCTTCTTTCCTTCCTTTCTTTCTTACTTCCCTTTCTCCCTTCCATCTGTCTTTTTTTCCTTTCTTTAATTTCTTCCATCCTTTCTTTCTTTCCTTTCTTTTCTCCGTTCTTTCTTACTTCACTTTCTCTCTCCCTTCCTTTCCTTTGTCCCTTCTTTCCTTGCTCCCTTCCCTCCTCCCTTTCTTTATTTCTTCTCTTTTTTTTTCTTCTCTTCCTTCTTACCTTCCTTTCTTTCTTACTTCCCTTTCTCTTTTCTTTCTCCCTTCTTTCCTTGCTTCCTTCTCTTCTTCCTTTCTTCTGTCTCTTCGCTTCCTTCCCTCCCTCCCTTACTTCCCTTTCTCTCTTTCTATATTTACTCTTTCTTTCTTTCTTTCTTTCTTTCTTTCTTTCTTTCTTTCTTTCTTTCTTTCTTTCTTTCTCTTTCTTTCTTTCTTTCTTTTTTTCTTTCTTTCTTCCTCTCTTCTCTTCATGTCACACATTCTCTCTCTCTGTTTCCCAGAATTGTTTCCTCTCTTTAGTTCTTCCTTTTCTCCTCAGTCGCCCCAGTGTCCTCTGTATGAAACACGCATATACATTGAGGGCACGTGTTAAACTGTGGGAAACCGCACATCTGTAACCAAATCGTAATGTCTGGGTGTTTATAAAAACACAAAGATTTGTTAATTATTTACCCTGCAAATTGGTGAAAAGTAAACAATTGGGATTTATAAAATACTGAGGAAAATCAAACACTTTAGAAGAAAAACCGAAAGAGCAGAAATATCCAAGTGTCCAGTCTGCACCAATTCTTTGAATATGACATGAAGCAGTGGAGTGAAAGTGGAGCTCCGCACAGAGCTGTAGTTCAGCAGAGGAGAATTGGCCAGGGCTGACAACACTGCTTGGGATTTCAGTGCAGTGGAGGAAGAGTTGTCAGCTCACTATGCAAAGTTAGGAGCTTACTGGATTTCTGGGAGATCAGTGGGTATTTTTCAGTACTTGCAGAGAAGTTCTTAAAGAGATAAAACATGGGGAAGTATGTATGTATTGTAGAGATGTACTGAATATGTTTTTTGGGGGGGGGGCGGGTTTGCCCATAAGTGCACTTTACTGCTTTAGTGAAAAGTCAAATCGTATTATGTCTGTGTAATCCATTCTGTTATTCAGGCTCTTGAAGAGTCCACTTTCACAATGATAACTATTATCATTATGGAGAACCTTCAAATCTGTCTTGTTGGGGGTTTCAGGGACTGGAGGGGCTAATGATGCCTGTAGGAGGTGGAATTTTCCTTGCTCCATGGCTGTAGATTCGTACATTTAGGCTAAGCCAAGAAACATGTGGTATTGAGGAATAGGAGCAGCCTTATCAGATATGCAAAGCGCCAGCGAAACAATCCGCATTCTGACAACGCTGCCAGCATCGCATTGTCTATGCAAATCATATTTGACTTACGTTTGCATAGGAAGCAGTGCTGGAATTTGAATAGAAATGTCTCGTTCTCATTCTATCCTTCCTATTCTAATCACCTGGTTTATATTTATTTTACTCCCTGTTTGCATACAATTCCGAGGCGTGTGATCTTCAGAGAGAGAGAAAGCAAGAAATACAGCAGGACAAAGGCAGAAGGTTTTCCTGCAGTCGTCAGTATAATTAGAAATGGAAAACTGTTTGTTTTTTTTAAACAAAAAAGAACAAACCCCAGTCAAAAATAACAAATAATAAACAAGCAGGGTGTGCTGCAATATTTACCTTTAATTTGGAGCTGCCCCCGCAGTATTCCTTTTCCAGCCACTAGATGTCCTCAGTCTTCCTTGTTGAATGACTGCCAGCATCATTCAACTCACTCCCTTAGAACCCAGGGTGTCATGTGACTGCCCAGCCAGTGACTACACAGTAAGGACTTGTTCACACGATCTCCAGATCGGTTTCTGGATGCGTGTCCACATACGCAATGAACTTGGCGCGTTTTCAATGTGCTCTGTCTGTTTAAAGTGCATTTTTTTCTTTATGTTTATGGGTTTTCCATACGTTTAAGCACGTTCCTGTGCATTCTGGTGCGTTTTCATGTGTTTTTGCACATTCCGCTGTGAAAAAAAGCATTCTGCTGAATTTTGTTTAAAAGCTCTGGAACTGAATGCAATGGTGTGAACGAGCCTAATTTAAAACCATTTGAAGTACCGTGTATGCGTTTTTGGTGCAGATAAAAAAACCGCACCAGTTTGGAGATTGTGTGAGCATGCTCTTAAAGTGGTATTCATGTCTCGATTTTTTTGTACATATATCTACCGCTAGCAAACAAGCAGATATCTGCAAACACATTTTAAAAACGAAAAAAGTTACCAAAGAGGTAAAAAGGTACCTCTGTCCCCGCCGCTCGTTCCCGGATGTAGAATTCAGCTCCTCGAGCAGCCGTGCAGGAGGATGTGTGCGGACGCATGCTCAGTGGAGATCACCGGCGGGGAGAGGAGGAAAGCTACAGTGTAACTCAATGCATGCAGCTGTGAGCGTGCACGTCGGACAGACTCCGTGGGACAGGAAGAGACAAGACTCCGCTCTGGATCAGAGACCGCCACCAGCACTGGAGGGACTGCGGAAAATGACTGGAAGGAAGAAGATGATCCGATCAGGAGGCATCACTTAATTAAAGACATTAAAGTAAAAAAAAAATCCCCCCCCCCCAATGCTGGCGTAAGGACTTACCTTAAATGATGCCTCTGGATCCGATCATCTTCTTCCTTCTAATAGTTCACAGCAGTCCCTCCAGCGCTGGTGCCGGTCTCTGATCCAGTGCAGACTCCTCGGGTCCCACGGTGTCCGTCGGCGTGCAAGCTGTGTCCATCAACTTACCCTGCGTCTCTCCTCTTCTCCCAGACGAAGATCCGTCGCAGTCGCCAGAGAATCTGCAGAACTTTGGACGGAAGCGAGCGGCGGAGACACAGGTAAGTTTTAACCTTTAGGGTAACTTTTTTTTAATGTTTTTGCATATATCTTCTGCTTGCTAGCCATAGATATATGCAAAAAAACCCAGAAGGTTTAATTGTACTTTAAGGTAAGTCCTTAAAACAGCATGGGGGGGAGGGGATGACTTTAATGTCACTTTAAGGAGCACTATGTTTAGTTTAATCTATCTGTCACTCTACATTCTCCTCTTATCAGCAGTCTCTTCGTTAGCACAGTAACCAATTGGCTACTTGTGCTGCTTCTCTCTCTTTCAGTCTAAGCTCTGCTGTATAGGGACTGCAAGAAGGTGATGCCAGGTCAGATTCAGGTACTTACACTGCTTGCATGAACAAAATGCATTCAAAGAAGAACTACAATTACAAATGAACCCTTGCAGTTGGGTTACCTCAAGCGCTGATTTTGGTCAAGGGTCTAATATAAAAAGATACACTCACCTGATTCTCAATCTTGCGGTGATGACCCCTCACCTCTCTCCCCTTCTACGCCAGATGTGGAATGTTCCTCGGTGTCCACATGTCCAATGCAAGTCAGTGGACTTGAATAAAACTTGAGGACGTCTGCAAAGGCTTAGACTGCCGGAGCCCAGTGGAGAAGAGGATGCAGCGACCGAACTAACAGCCAGGCAGGATCAAGGTTTAGGTCAGCATATCTTTTTTATTTTAAACTCTAGACCAAAACAAGCAGTTAACCCTTGCAGTGCGAGAGTAGCCCCACTAAAAGGGTTAATATGTAATTAGCCCGGAGTTCTTTAATGATTCTTTAATGATGTAATAATAATTAAAAACCTACTTTACTTGTATATCTGCCTGGAGCTCAGCTATAACTGAAATGCAATTTCCTAAAGCCAGCTGGTTGTGCTCTAAGCACAGAATGAAAAGCTTTATGAATCTGATTTTCAAGCAGCTCTTTTCATAGAATGTCTTACCGCTTCCATCGAACAAATGTTTCTTCAAACAATGGAACCATAATAGACCATATATATATATGCCATTTAAAGTGAACCTTACAGTTTACAAGTCTGCATAAATACATTCCTGACATGTCACAATTAGGGATGAGATTGGGCTCGGACTGAACTCGAACTCTGAACCCTGGAAGGAGCTGCCAGTTGCGGCCCAATCAGCTACGACCAGGTCACTCCTCACCCTGCAGCTGCACATAAACAAAGGAAAAGGGTGCTTGTGACATCATTGACCTTATATGGTCACATACTAATATTTGGTCAATGATGTCACCAGCATCCTGCCTCTTTGTTTACATG